TTTGAGTCGGAACTCCTGCCTATTTTGTCTGACCCGTGCCGCTGGGAAGACTATTTCCAGATCTTAAGATGCATGGCGATAGCCGCCTTGGAACAGGGGTGGTGTTACTGGATCGATTCTACGCGATTGGATGGGAGAATATGGGCTCTTGCTAACCGCGCACATCACTGCAGAATTTGCTTGATTTTTCCACCCAACCTACCAACGAGCTTGTGCTGAAGCTGGAGAGACAGTGAGTGAAATCCTTTCCTAGGCTAAGGTGAATCCCACTTTCCGACATGTTTGCGACTGGTACTCTCGATATTTCTCCCGTGGTTGTCCCAACCCTCTTGCGACGTCGGTCTCCTTCGATGCGGATATATCGCCCTTGACTTGCAGCGGGTGCCGAGTGGCGTTTGGACTGTGGCTGCTCAGAGACGACTGCCTCGAATCCCAGGTGCATGTCCATGACGAGAACATTTGCCAACATCCACCCGGCGAAAAGTGCATACCGATTGGGTGGAAATGTCATATTGTCGAATGTAGATGAGTGCGTTCCGTGCTCATCTGCAATGCACTCCTGAGTCCATGTTCGGATGTGTGCCAAATCTGGTTCAGAAACCCCCGTCGCCGTCTCTCCACACACCTGTTCCGTCTCATGCAGGAACGTTTATTTTGTACATAGACGATGCATGTCCTGCTCGATGCAACAGGTCGCACATGGATTGTGGACAATCCCGGTCGGCACAACGTTCGGTCCAAAAGATCGATGGTATTGGGGGTGGTTCACTAACATGGTCTAAAAATCAATGACAGTATCCGAAGTTATTCTCGCAGATTTGACGGGCGAACGCCATATTGTTAGCGCTTCTCGAAAGCCATCAAGATCCATGCAAATTGACACTGCGGCGCAAATCTTGTTCTGTTCTTCCTAAATCGAACTGGGTTTACCCTTGTGCAATCCAGTATAGCAACCACCTCAAGCCCCTTCCGGATTTAACCAATTCTCCGGGTCTTTCTGCTACGATCCTGTCTTTTATTCTCGAGGTATGTTGGTCTTTGGTTTACCTTTTATGGATCGGTTGCCATGGTGTGACGGTTCCGTAAGTCATTTGCAATGCCTCGGTTACATTTGTTGCGGAAACAGTTCCTGTGAAGAACTTCATCTCAAATGTGATGAGAAAATAAATTGCTCTTTATTTAACTACGATCTCAGCTTTTGTCATGAAAATGTTCATGTTGGCTAATATTCATGACTTTTCTAGGCATCATCCGGGCCAGACCCAGAGTCACATATTCCAAGTCTCAACAATGGCTCATAATCGTCAACCAGCTCCGTACATTAAGCATGAGGTGGTGGATCCTGTAAGCTCTTTTCAACAGGTATTTTGCCTTTAGTGTTATTCTTATTTCTGTCTCTTTTTTTTCTTCCTTTCCTTTTCTTTTCTTTTCCACCCTCGTTCCACTGCCTTGTTGCTGTTGTATTTCCACCAGCGATTTCAGCCCTAGGTTTTCTGGTTATTCTCTTCCTGGAACCATCCACCTCGAGGGTGGTCCTGAGAGCTCCCGAGCTCGTTTTGACGGGGATACCCCTCGCTTGCTGGGACCCAGGCGCCTAAAGATTCTCCCCACAAGGAAAAGTGTTCTTGTTCCCTTTTCGCTAGCGGGTGTTAGGGCTTCTGTTGAGTGCTTTCCCCAAACTACAGCCCGGGGTTACAGGGGTATCTGGTACCATGTTTCACCAACCTTTTGGGGTACCATGCGAAGGACACACGCTTCACAATACCTTGACCCCTTCTCCGACTTTTAAGCTCAAAACCCCTGAGCCGAGAGAAAGTCGTGCCCTACCCTGCCGCCTGGGGTGTCGGCTTCATGGATCTTTCCTCCACATCAACGCCCACTTTTACCCACCTCCCCAAAGACATTGATGCTCCTCCGATTCAGACCATCGCCACAGCCATCACCGGGAACACGTACCCCCCTACACGCCCTCTTCAGTTGGTCATTCATCGGAGTATGCATGTGGCTAGTGGTCCGCGATGTTGATGCCACACCCAATGGGATGTGATAATGACAAGCGCATTCATACCGTCCCTCCGTCCCTCCATCCCTCTCAGGGTCTCCTCTGTGCACCAGCAACGGCAAAAGCAGCTCTTCTAACAAGCTCGAGGACCAAACACCTCGCACTGGTCCTTTTGATCCAAAGCTGGAAAGAGTGGCGTATTGTCGAACCTTAGTGACGACACCTTGGATCTCGTTGAAATAGTTGGGAGGTGCAGGACAGATTAACGGCATTTGCTGGTCTGTCCGCAGTAACCTCGAAAAGCAATTCGAACGCCACGGTGTCAGAAAATGAGGGGGCCGACTGCCGCCAAGCAAACCGGCTGGAGATGGCGTAGCTGCTAGTGACTGCATCCTGTCAATCTCTCTGAAGGTTACCAGCCTAGAAGAATTCCTTCGCGAACTGAGCGAGTGAGGGGCACGAAGCAAATGTCTCATCTCGTTCCTTAATTCCACGGGCGTGGTGTATATTCATTTCTAGACCAATCTGTCGTGCTGTCACTTGCACCCCACCCTTTTTTTCTTTGCCCATCGGCATTAGCTCTGCATCCGAGGGCGGCCTCAGCGTGTCAATCTCACTCAGTGTTACAAATCGTCGATGGCTCAAGGACACGATACGAAACTTGCAGTTGATAATGTATCAAAACATTTTTCAACATGCATTGAAAGCAAACATGATTTGCGCGGGATCTAGGCATATCTCCTACTACTGTTTCGATCTTCGATCATCACAAGATAACCGGCCATCCATTGGCCCAGGTTTTCATTTTCGATGTGAGTAGGTTAGATCCTCAAGTGAGGATTTGGGACATGGATGCGACATGGGGACCCGCAGACTGGAGGATGGCATGAATGAACACGACAAGGGTTCTGCAGCGCACGCGACGCACAGTCGCGTTGACAGAACCTCGTGGATGGTGGTGCTGGGTACATCGCGGAACAGTGCGTCATGATCAGGTGTACTGTACAGTGCGGTACCTACACTAGCCATCGTCTCCACTTCCCCATTGATCGTGTTCACCGCCTACTCTGTCTGGGTATTCAGGGAGCGAAGACCGTCCAGGATACTTTGGGCAAGGGACGGGGTGGATATAAGGCTACATCACAGACCCAACCCACTGGAATTCTGGTCCGGCTTTCTAGTCCCGGTTATAAGGTCCCCCATTGGGCAGCAGCAACCAGGTTGTCTGCATGACCATTGGTCGTTTAATTTCGACCACTTTTAGGAGCTCCACACCCCTGTCAGACGCAACCCCCATGCGCTGTTCCACTAGGATCATGCTTAGGAAGGATGGATTAACCCCCTAGCCTGTTTTCCCCCTTTCTTTTCTTTCCTGGCTTGCTTGTCCGCCCCCTTCCCCCCCTGCCTTCCCTCCCCGAGGACGAGGGAGAGCGCGTGCTGGATGGAAGGAGGGGGTACGAAGTACAAAGTACATGGCAGTTTCACACGCCCCCCTGGACCTTCCCTCAGACTTGGAGCGATCCTGCAATATTGGAGTTGGTGGGCGACAACCCGAAAGCAGGAAAAGCTCCTTCTGACGGCTGCAAGTACCAGCTCAGAAGCGTCTCAAAGCGTTCGCCAAAATTGACCATCACTTGCTGTTTATGCTTCTCGTCCCGCCCAGAAAGACGGGAGGGTACCAGACACAGCAAGTGGTTGACAGGCTCATTTTGATTCCCTTTAACTAGCAGGCGCAGCCCCCCTACATTCTCCTACACCATACCACAGACTTCATCAACAGTTTCTGCCAGTGTCAGAAGTAAGATTGATTCAAGCACCAAGGACGAAAAGCGCGCGTCCTTTTCTTCTCCAAGTGAGTGACAAGCTACGGCACCTGTAGCATCTCCACTTTTAATCCTACCCTTAATCCAATATCATAAAAATCTCGCTGCATGTCCCCTTGGCCAGTCCAGTTTATCGTTGTCCCTGTCGCAGACAGCTCTCGCGCCGCGCATCATAAGTTGTCCCTTTATGCCAGATCCGCTGCTCTTTCTTGTACTTCCCTCACTTCGCTTTTATTCCCCGACTCCCTGGCCGGTTCACACGATCGCCATCTTGGAAGAAGAAACACGAGCAGATCAACACGAAACTTGATCTTCTTTGTTACCCAGCAATCGTGGTTCGCCCTTTGGAACCTTAATTGCTCACTGGTACACACCAAACACCCCCAGCTGCCTCTTTATCCTCGCTTCTGGTTTGCTCCTATCTGTTTGTTTGGGGCTCTCTTGATCCTCAAATAATGCGTTTCCTCTGGTAGTGCCGGAGGAGGAGCCCTGAGACCCCCGTCGTGGTTCCATGTCTGCATGGCCCATGACCGCATCGAGCCTCGCGCCGCACCCGTCCCATGCCCTTGTCCCTAATCTGAATGCACCCTGGAAAGTCCACCTCAACCTAAACCCCAACCCCTGACCGGCGTCTAGGCAAGGGGGGCAGAAATAAAAATACAGACGCGTCCGGCCCATAATACTTCCTTTTCCTCCTTCCTTCTGTCATGTCAATCCATCATTCCAAGAACCACTTAAGAACTAATGGGTCTTTATCCTATGCAGCATCATCCCCACCAGCAGCAGGGTCAACACACTTCACAACAACAAACGCAATATTCTCGACCCTCAAGCATCGTCCAACCCCACCAGCAGCAGGGCAGCCAAAATCAACAACACCATCCTACCTACCAAACCTCGCACTCAATCTCATCGGTCTATCCACAACCGGGAGCTCAAAGCGGAAACTCTCAGACACCCGCCGACGGCCTCCCTTATTACTCACACTCCCCATACTCTACTCCTGGCGCAAACAGCGGATACACTTCCGCAGGTGAGTCGGTCATGTTTCTTTCCCATTATTAGCGATCTCCGGCTTCCTGGGTGTCCTGAGACGAGGAAGGAGAACCGTAACGCGCAGGTTGAGTCTTGCAACAGGACCCTGGCTGACATGTACATCTCAAGACACCTCCGAAATGATGGCCGCAGCGTTGCCGAGGCATACATATCCTCCTATGCAATACCATGCAACCCAGTCAACCTCACCGGCATCAGTCCCATCACCAGCCCAGCATGATCACCATCAGCACCGGAACATCTACGGCCAGCCGCCGTCGCAGTCGCTGCAGCAAACGATGTACTATCCCACACAGCAACCGCAGTACCAATCGATTGCGAGTCAGCCACCAGCACCCGCATACGCCCAACATGCGCACCAGACTCATCAAGCCATGACGACGCAACCGACGATGATGATGGCGCAAACTGCATCGCACAACCCCCTCGCACCTCATCATAGCCAGCATCAGCACCAGCACCAACCTCACCACACACAGCAACCGATGTCCAATAGTCCCCGCATAAAGATGTCCCCACAGCCATCGGTACAGCTTCAGAAGCCCCAACAAACGCAACCACTTACACAAGCTCACTCCACACAAAATGGCAGTGGCCCTCTAACTACACCGACAAGCACAACCTCAGGCGGTGTTAACGCGAATGCTGCGCCCGGCCCAATCCCAGCCACGACTCCGTTGGTAGTACGACAGGATCAGAATGGTGTGCAATGGATCGCCTTTGAGTATTCTCGCGACAGGGTGAAGATGCAATACACGATTCGTTGCGATGTTGAGTCGGTTAATACGGATGACCTCCCCCACGAGTTCAAGACTGAGAATTGTGTCTACCCCCGAGCGTGTTGTCCCAAAGACCAGTATCGTGGCAACCGTCAGGTCTATGAGACGGAATGCAATACAGTCGGCTGGGCTCTCGCGCAGCTAAACCCATCCCTCCGAGGCAAGCGCGGGTTGATTCAGCGTGCCGTTGACAGTTGGAGGAACAGTAACCAGGACCCCAGGTTGCGAAGCCGAAGGGTTCGCAGGATGGCGAAGATGAACAACCGAAAGGCGATGCAGAACGCGGGCCAGAGCCCTCATCTGGCTGGTCATGGCGGGCCAACCGGTATTCCTGGTGCACCGACGCACATGGGCCCTGGCCCTGCTATGACGAAGCCCTCGCTCAGTAGCTTAACGCAAGCTATGCACCACCACCCCGGTCACCCGCAAGACCATGGGCAAGGCACCGGAGACGAAGTTGGTATGTTTCAGCCGATGTGACTACCCTAATAATTCATCTAGCATAACTTGAAAATGGGTGGTCGAGTTATTGTTAAATTTTTTTACCCTTCAACCCCCCTCTCAATACTGTTTCTGGCGATATTTTCTCCCTTGCACTTCTAGAGATACCTATACCGCTTTTTTCCGTTATTTTCATGTGCAAAACAGTTTCTATACCTTGTATCCCAGCTTCTTACATACCCTTATTCTCCGTTGGAATTCCTTCACTCTCACTTCCGCCTCAACCCTCTGCAGCAACAGAGAAAAAGCTTGTGTTCCTGAGACTCCTTTCTTAACTTGTTGCCTTGAATCTGGTTCATTTTCTTTACTTTTGATTGGTTTAGAGGGTGGTTTTTGGTTTTGATGCTCTACTCGGCCTCTCTGGCTCTCTTCGCGCTCCTTTACATGTTCCTCTTTTTTCTTTTTCTCGTCATCAACCAATTCGAGGCGTTCCACCCGCAGATTAATAGCGCAACGCGAGTTTCCGTTCAACCAGGTCGACTTCAGGTTCTTCTACATATCTTCAACTTTTTACTTTGTCCTCTCCTTATCTCAAGAGTATGCGAGGCACGCGGAAGGCCGAGTTCGGAACGAAGTATTCGAATCTCCATTTCCCCTGCCCAGGAAGCGATTAATCGCCCCTGTCTCGATTACAGGTTTTGTATATTACCAGAATAAACCTCGAGCGCAACCTGTTGGTCGCTGATGTTATTTAGTCCCTCTCTTCCCCCGCCTGTCTAGCTTGGGCCGGCTGTCTTACGCTGGGTGGATGGTGGGAAGAAAAGGAGAGAGCCTGAGAGAGCCCTGAAAGGCATATAATCATCATTTTGATGCTTAGGGATTGGCATAAAAAGTTGCATTTTGTTTTCTGCTTGATATTGGAATTTTTTGGCCTTGTTTGATGTTTTTCACGTTTCGACCCAAGAGGAGCATCAAGGAAGCACAACGGGGTTTTAAAACTGCAAGTTGCTGGTTGAAGTTCATTCGAGGGGCACGTAGAGCACGTGGTATACCTCGTAGAGATGGACAGCCTGGTATCAATCCGGCGTGTATCTCTGGGCTTTCTGTCGTTCGCTGCACCACCCAGCAAAAAGCAACGGAGGAAGTGGAAAATGGGGGGCTGTACGAGAGGCGCTCTAAGTAGAGACTTCGATCACGAATCCCACACCACACAGCTCTGATTTCCCACACCACGCCCCTTGCTCGGAGTCTACCCCTGTCTCCTCCCCCGCGCCCACACCCGCCAACCCCCACGCGTCTAGTAGGGGTCTAAGTGGCTACGGTCCCTAGAACAACCCTAGTCCAAGGCCTACTCACCGAGCAGTCTCGGGGTGCGAAGGTATTGGCTAGCAACAGCCTTCTCATCATGAGCCGTCCCCTTCCCCCGGGGGGGGGGGGGGGGGGATCGTTACCATCCTTGCACTGTCTGCCCATTAGGCTGCGTCCCATAACCCTGTCATGTCTTGCACTGCCAGTTACTCGTTTTTCCTTGCCACATGTTATAAATGCCGGTGTACCTCCGCCCTTGCCATAGGAAACTGACGGATGGGGCTTGCTTAGGATCAAACTACGAACACCATCACCATCAGGCGCCGAATAGTGACGATGTAAGACCAGCCCAGGTGTTCACTGGATACAATACGAACCAGTCGTATCCCGGGGCCTTGGGCCATATGTCCGCGATTGCCACGGCCCGGAGACGGTCTCGGAGTGAGAATGACGAGCCCTCCGACCTCTTCCCCGACATGCCGGAAGCAAAGAAGCGCAAGTTTATCCTCGTGGAGGACAACGTGCGTGGGTCGAGGCTCCGCATCCGTGTCACGCTGGAGGGTGTCAACACGAAGGAAATCCCCGATAGCTTCCGAAAGGATTCCAGTGTTTTCCCGCGCAGCTTCTTCCCCCGCGAGATGCAGAGCCCCCCACCTAGCGCCACTGGCAGCTCTTTCTTCGAGGACGACCTTGACGCAGATGATGGCAACCAGGAAACCGAGGGTCGGGAAATATCAAGGAGGAGGGGTAGGGGCCGAGAGACGGTAATGGTCAGGGTCCCTGTGGGCGATAGCCGAGAGGGAGACCTGAGCGTGCCTAGGATGAGGAAGAACATTAGGGGCAAGGAAGTGAGGTTGAATGAGCTCGGATACCGGATGGCCTGGTTGCAGAGCCGTGTGTTTGCGGGACGGACGCTGTTTCTTCAGCGAGCATGTAAGTGGCAATTAACACGCCTCAATCTGTCCTGCCCTCTATGTCCGGTTTTTGGCGGATACTAACCGACTCTCGGGACAGTGGATTGCTACCGTAACAAGACTCGGTCGGCGATTGAGTCAATCATGCAAGACGTGAAGAATGTGGCGCCGCACTACGAGACTAGGGTTGGAAAGCGGAGGTGGAACGAGAGGATGAGAAGCCAGGAGCGACGCGACCGCGACTGAGACCGTTCACCTTACTTGGCTGCCACTGACGCCGGCAGAAAGACTTGCGGCGCAGATAGACGCCCCCAATCTCTGTCTAGACGCGACAGAACATTACATATCCTTCTTCGATGATACCCCCCCACGCATCAGCAAGCGAAAGGAAAGAGTATATTGTGCAAATTCGGCCTAGGTTATCTAGCAACGGTGGTAGTTATGGTGTCGGGTCGCAGTTATTCTGAGACCTCTTTCTTTGCGCATTTTTCTTTTCTTAACCAGTTGGCATTTATCTCGCCATTTTTTTTTTCAGCACTTCTTTATTTCTTTTGTTTCTTTCTTATTCTTGTCACTACTTTCAGCAAAATGTTGTCTTTTTTCCCTTTTGTGTCCTGTATCTGATTCTCCTCTTGTCTCTTCCTCTGTTTCTATTTCCATGTCTTTCCTTGCACATTGTCTTGCTTATTCCTATAGCCGGGAAGGGGATGGTGAGAATCGGGGTTGTATAATACAGGCTGCGTGGATATGAGCTACACCTGAAGCCATATGGGAAGGGGGCGACCGGGCAAAGGGTGGAAAACAAAAAGGTCGGTGGTAGCTGTCAGGCTTTTGGGCGGTGGACGACGGATGGCAGAGCCGGAACGTGTCTCGACGGCCGTTAATGGTTCTTGGGTGTCGCGGTCTCGAAGGCTGAGACACTTGGCTAAGGGCGGTACTAGCCGAGGCTTGAAGCTAAGGCTTGTGAAACAATGGGTGTTCAGGCCATTGTTCTCGTGTTCATATCTAGAGAGAAGTTCTTGTGTTATATTTTTGGGGCTATTTCGGCTTAGATCTTGCGGTAGAGTGAGCGCTTGCGCGCCTGTTGTTTTCTACTTGGTTGAGATCGTACTAGGAACCATATAGACTAAGTTTACGTTCACTCATTGCCAGGATTGAAGTGTCTGTGATTTCCAAGTCCGACAGACAAGAAAATGAGTACGAAAAAAATGGAAAATAGGAAACGTAGAAGAAGTCCTAAGAAGAATTAAAAGTGGGAAATAGAGAAGAAGCAAAGAGAAGGCAAGAGAAGGCGGGAAAAAAAAAAAAAAAAAAAAAAAAAAAAAAAAGGCAGTTGAGAATGGTCAGTATGAGGGTCGAACTCATGACCTTGGCATTTACATGATAAGCCGGATAGCTTATTAGTACCACGCTCTAACCAACTGAGCTAACCGACCGTGGCACCTTGATCGCTTCTGAAGACTTATGTGGGCTTCTGCTCGGGTGCTGCTCTCGAAGTCTTCGCACGACTTTGGCCGGTGCAATGGCAAGCGGGGCTCACCAGCATCTTGGACAGACTTACAACGGAGCGGGTTACCAGTTGTACAATGGAGTTTAAACTGATCTACTACGCAAGTAGTGACAGGGACATATCGTCGCCTCAAAAGGGTGGAATGCTAGGTCAACCTCAACGAAGATTGGAGGAGACGCACAAGGGAGCCAACGAACAAAGGAACGAACCACTAGGCGCAGCGGGCTTCTCTAAACGTCGATCGATTGGGTATTACATTTGCCCAAGACTCGAGCGTTCAGTAATATTGTCGAAGAGTTTATACGATGGACTTGCAGGGAAATTGGGCGAAACAAGCTCTGGACTAAACCGAAAGCAGCGGGAATGGCTGAAAAGTGCGGATCCTGTGAGCGGACGACCTGCAGCAGCGGAAAAGCCAAGAACGAGGACAGGAATGGAAAAAAGACTGCCGTTTTCTCCCTGCAGGGTAGTAGTAGTATCGGTCTCTTGGGCGAATTAAATCCCCGTCTTACACTCTGAGCAAGGTTTCCCACGACTCACAATGAGTTGGGTCTTGAGGGTTTCAGCTTTGCTTTTTCTCCGTTCCTTTGTCGAGCCTTAAGAGATGTTTTACTTCAGAGTTTAGATGATGTAGATGAGACGCTCTCCATGTACCTGCCCTCGCGGACCCGCGTGAAGCGAAGGAAAGGGGGCAGTGCCTGGCCAGAATAAAACGGAGCATTGGATGCAGGCAGCGGGAAATTAGAGCCCTCAGCCGCACGCGACCGTTGAAAGGCCAGGCCAGACCATTCATAGCAGGCCCAGGCCGTGCGCTTCTTTTGGGCTTGGGCGTTATTTGTTAATAATAGCTTTGGGAATGAAGCCACCTTGGGATGAGATTCTCTGCATTTGATGCTACTTCGTACTTCGTACTTTGCCGGCATTGGTCAAAACTGCGGGCTGGTGCGTGTGCCTGATTTTTGGCGCCGTGATGGCTGATGCGAGACGATGCGATGGACGGGAGATTTGGGCGGCAAAAGGAATGAACCGGAGCGGATGGAAAGGGGAGGAGAGACATGAGGAGGAGAAAGAGGAAAGGAGGGCGAGGAACGGAGCCGGAAATGGAAGTGGAAAATGGATGTGTGGTGTGTGATGTGTGGGAATGGTGGCACTGTTACAGTGGAATAGAGATTTCGGTATTCATTTCTGTCTGGACTTTGCACGAGTCTCGTCCCAAGGAACCGCTGCATGCTTTGTATCAACAGAACGAGAACGAGAACGAGAACGAGAGCGAGGACGAGGACGAGGACAGGTCCGCAGCTTCGAGTTTATTAGACGATGCTCTGATGCGCCCACAGCCTCCAAAGCCTCCAAAGCCCCCAAAGCCCAACAACAACAAAGTAGTGCAGTCTCATGTAGCGTTAGCGCACACCAACTCGCGACTCATCTCCACGATCCCCCTTTTCCTACCTCAGTAGTTTGGCTCCCTCCCCCCTGTAATCACCAACTACTGCGTACCGGCACAGCCCTCCAATCTCAATCCCAATTCATTTTTTTTTTTTTCCTTCTTTAGAGAGAAGAGAAGGTTGCGAGGCTCTGGGCTGAGCGAATTGTGATTTTTGTGTTTTTTTTCCTCCTTACTCGTACTCGTACTACCAGTACTGTTCCATCGCCTGGCTGGCTCTTTGTGTTGGGTAGCAGGGACAGACAAGTCGGGACGGGCTTTCTTCAGCCCGGTCTGATTGAAGCTGAAGCCTTGTACCATCCGCCGCAAACCTCCCCACGTCTTCTTCTTTCGGCCCAGCCTTATCTCATCGCTTGGCTCCGCTGCTCACTCCGCTGCCCTCGTCTTACTTTGTCGTACAAACAAGTGGACAATCCGGTAGTCGGTCCCAGAGCCCACGATGAGCGGCAACTACAGGCCCTATCAACCACCGCAACAGCCAGTTTACTGGCAGGCTCCTGGTCAGCAGCAAGGAGCCCCAAGCCCCCAAGGCACTCCGAACCCAAACGCAACTCCAGGCCAGCCTCTCCCAGGTCATCCTCACCCGCAGCAGACGCCGCCTCTCCAACGTCCTCCCCAGGCACCAACCCAAGGCGTACAGCATCATCCCCATCCCCAAGCCTACGCTGCCTTTGTCCCCCAACAGCCAGGACAACAGCATGCCCAATCTCCTTATCCCCTTCCCCTCCAACCTCATCGTCCTCCCCAGCAGCAGCAGCAGCAATATATCCACCAGCCACAGCAGCCTCATCCTCACTATCAACAACAACATCCTCAGCATCCCCACCAACAACACTATCCCCCTCAGCAATCCCCTCTTCACCCTTCTCACCCTTCCCCCCTCCACTCGCCCCCGCTTCACTCCCCCGGTTATGGCCCTCCTCCCACCCAGCAACCCCCACCGTCCAATCCTGTCGGCTTCATTGCCGAGCTCGATTCCTCCATCATCTCGACGCCACCTCCGGGCCCGGGAAATGGCCAAGCCGGTCCGCCGGCCGGTAACTTTGCCGAGTTACCTGCCGAGCCGGCCGTGACCCCCAACCCCGGGAAAGAAGGCGACAAGCCCGTGCAGACGCCTCAGTCGGCGAAACCTCCTACACAGGCTAACCCCTGGGGATTCTTCCTTGAGGAGAAGCAGGTCGTCACGAGCGAGGGTGGAAAGCCAGCCTCTGTTCCCGCTGCTGCGCCGGCTTCGGCTCCTGCTCCTGTTCAGGGAGAGCCCAAGAAGGAAGACGAGAAGAAAGATGAGACGAAACCCCAGGCCATCGTTGTTGATTCAACGCCGCAGGTTGTCGAGGAACCGCCGAAGCCTCATGATGCGAGGTTTACCTTGCCTTCGCAGCAGTATATGCCGGGTGTTGTTCATCGGCCACCGCCACCTCAGGGTGGCCAACCTGAGCATCACCAACCTCCTTCACAAGGTCAGGCTCCGCAGCAACAACCGCCTCCTCAGGTTCAACCTCACCAACATCACCCGCAGCAACAGCAACAGCAACAGCAGCAACCACCGCATAACCAGCAGCCGCATCAGCAATTTGTTGCTTATAATGCTTCTGCTCATCCTGGATCTCCGGGCCCCCCTCCTCAACAAGGCCAGCCTCCTCACCAACATAGTCCTCCTAGCCAGCCGACTTCTCCTGCTGGAGCTCCCCCTCAAGCTTCACAGATCCAACCCTTCCAGCCCGGCCCACCGCAACAAGGAGCCACACCCGCGCCGGCCACCGTAAACCCGTACCAGGCATACGTGCCGCCTAATCAACAGGGCGGCCCGGCGCAAGGAGGACCTCCCGCTGCAGGTGGTCAGTTCCAGATACCTCAGCATGGTCCTCCTGGACTTCAAGGAGGCATGACCCCGCCCGGTCAACCTGGCCAACCACAGCAACCACAGCAACAACAATTTGCCATTGGAGCCAGGCCCCCTTCTATAGGACATGCGGGAGGAGCGCTTCCAGTGGTTGCGAATGCAAATCTGCTGCCTTCCGGACCGCAGAATCCTAACCAACCTCAGCAACCCGGATATCCCCAACAGGCTCATCCCACACCTCCACCGGCTGCCACGCCGACATCCCCTCCTCTTGGCCCTGGCCCCACCCAGGCCCCCCAAAACCAGCCCCATATGTATGGACCGGCACCTCCACAGATAGCGGGCACCCCAATGATGTCACCACCACCACCCAGCGGCCCAGGCGCCGTTCCTCCGAACCAACCTCATGTCTACGGGCCAGCTGCCTCGCCGGCTGGTAGTGTAGCGTCACCTGCCCCAGGATCTGGTCCAGCGCAGCAGCAGCAGCCGCAGCAGCAGCAAACCACGTCGTATTTCCCTCACAGCGCGACACCTCCCGCCGTTCACCCCGCCTATCAGCAGGTGCATAGGCCCCAGAGTCCGCCAGCGCATAACGTGGTTCAGTCTCCGCCGCCGTTACAGCATGGCGGCGCGCCCGGACAAAGCCCGTCCATTGGATCGAGTTCCGTGCCACAGACCCCCGCGCCGCAGACTCCAGGACCCTCTCCCCATGGTCCCACGCAGGCGCCTTCCGTACACAGCGTTACCCGGCCCAACTCCGGCGCATATAACGTACCGCCGCCCAGTTCCTCTCACGGTCCGACGCCTCCTCCTGGCCAGACCCAGACACCTTCGAACGCTACCCCGGTTTATGGGGTTCCTCCGCCTATTCCCGCCCAGGCGACCGGTCCAACCCAGCCGCCGTCTCTCCCTCAAGGCCAAACTCAACCTTCCCCTCCTACCGGCCAATCTCAGGGGCAAATACAGGGTCAAGCCCAAGGTCAACCTCAAGGTCAGCCAGGCCAGCCAAGCCAGCCAGGCCAGCATCCCACCTACGGGCCGGGCGCACCTCATCCCACTCAGCCCGCCTCCGCTCAAATGACCGGCCACCCAGGCCAGGACCTCCCGATCCCGAACGACCCTCCTCCGCCGTATAATCCTGTCGCGCTTCCTCCCCGGCCGGAGACTGCCAACCTCGGGCCCCGTCCCGTCTACCACTACGGTCCTCCCCTCCCAGGCCAAGTCGGCATCCCCCCTCCACCCCTTCCCCACCGACCCGTCTCCGCCATGGGCAACCAAATAAGTCCCCAGCCTGGCGCCCAGCCACCTCAAAGTCCCTACGGCCCTCCCGGTACCACCCCATACGGCGCCCCCAACCCACAAACTCCCGTAGTAGGACCCTACGGTCCCGGCGTCCAGACGACCAATCCCCAAACCTCTTACGGCCCCCCTCAACCAACCTACACCAACACCCCCACCACCTCTTTCCCCCCTCCACCCAAGACTCCCGCCCTCAATCATTCCCTATCAGCAAACAGCCGTCCACCCACCAGCGGCGGCGGCGGCGGCGGTCTCCTAAGCAGCAAGACGATGAAGAAATTCGTCAACCGGACCACCAACATTCTCGAACAGACCGTCGCGCCCGTCATCGCAGCAGGCCACAAGTATGCGTATCAGGGCCATTCTTCTCCTTCGCCCATGCCGGGTCAGCCTATGTATGGACAGCCTGGTACGCAGCCTGGGTATGGACAGCCGGCTCCGCCACAGGCTGGGTACGGACCGCAAGCTACGCCGCGTGAGTTTTTGTTCTCTCTTTCCTTCCTCTCTTACAAGATGAGCTTCTAGACTAATACCCTGTTTTCTCCCCCCAATCTACAGAATATCCAGCGCAGCCGACGAACTGGGCGCCTTCTCATCCGCAGCCTCAGGCTCGCCGGGAGTAAGCATCAAACTGTTTCGTTCCGACTTTAGAAAGGGGATTCTGTTCCAATTGCGAGAGCTTGCCTTCTTTGTCTTCTTCCTTTTTTTTTTTTTTTTCGGATTACGCTTCGATATTGTCCGTTACGCATCGTTGGTTGAAATGTTTTATGGAATTTAATTCTGATCCATTGCCTTTTGTCTTCTTCGACAGCACGATTGCGAGAGCGAGAGCGATGAGAGTATTTCGGGCCTTCAAGTGATTTATAATCAACCTTTGTCTTGCTGATCCGGAAAGGTCCCATTCTGCCCTTCGGTATATATTTATCTAGAAAAGAAGAAAAACACTCAAAATGGTATCATTGCTTTTAGGTACAGGCATGTCCGAAACAAATCCATTGACCCATCCCATATATCCCGTCCTGTTCAAATGTACATAGCGAACGAGCCGAAGGAGGACAAAAAATAAAGAAGCGTCCTCAACCAGCGTTGGAAACCCCCAAAGTTCCTCGTTTCTAGTAACCGAGATAATAGATATAATATTGAAAACGTCATTTCCAACTCCCACCAATCCGTTTTCAAGCCTTTCATCAGATGGTGAACCCCCCAGTCCCTTGGACCCTGTAAGAGGATCGAGAATGCATTGCCCCGGTTTGTATAACGCCAGGTCACATATATAAAGAGGAAGAAGACCCTATAAATCCCATGATATCCCGCGCCAAGGAAGGTAATCCATACCACCAGAGTAAATGCAGACAATAGAGAAGAGAGAGATGGAGAGGGAAACAGGTACTAGCGAAAAGAGAAGGAAAGAAAGCAGGGAAAAAAAAAACCAAAAAAAAAAAAAAAAATAGCTACTGCACCCTCCCATCACCCACAAGATCCCACATCAAACGGCTCAAGCTCTCCACAAGCGGCGGTAACGCCTCCTCCTGCACAGGAAAATTCGACCTCAACAACGACCTTGCCGTCGAAAGCACGATGCCATCCTTCGAAATCGGCTCGATGACATCGCCCACACGGAGGCCGGGAACCCCGCCATTGACGATGAACTCTCGCGTCTGCGGCGTCTCTTCGCCGTTGACGGGCACGCAGCATTGTTTGAGTTCCTCCGAACCCGGTTCGTTGGGCCGGAGGAGTCCGTAGATCCAGAGCGTGAGGCTGGCATAGTAGACGGCCACGGCTGCGAAGTCGCGGAGGGTCGTGGGCGGGAGGAGGCTCGCGTAGCGGAAGACTTGGCCGGCGTGCCAGACGGCGTGGCGCGCTATGGGGGTCGTGGCCCAGTATTGGTCTAGGGCGTCGGAGACGCGGTTGGCTTCGTCTTCGCCGGCTTTACCGGCGAATTTTTGTAGGTCATCGAGGGAGACATGGGTTGTCATCATCATGATTTCGGACGTTAAGGCGAGGTGGCGAGAGTGAGGAACGGCAGCGACGGCGTGGTTGGCCAAGACATTGAGGTCACGGTAGAGAGTTTGATACTGCATCTGAACCCACGGAGGGTAGTTGGTAAGCGGAGCGTTAGGTTGCCGTCCGGCAGAGTAAAACTTAGTAGACTCCCAGTAGCTGGAAACTTGGGCGCGGAATCCATAGAGCAACGCGGCGTAGGAGATCTCTTTGTCAATGAGGGTGCCCGACATGGAAATGAGATCACGATGGTGCATTGCCTCGGAGATGTTGGGGATGTCGGCTGGTGGAGCCGAGCTTGCCTTGGAAAGGTAGATATCCCGCCATTGTTCTGCTGTTCGAGCCATCCAAAGATCTCTAGACGCGGGAAGGCTAAAGCAGAGCTCGGTAAATGATATGGCGGGGTGTTTGCACAATGACATGGAAGATTGAGCGTCGTGGAAATACACGTGCAAAACAAGTCTGTTGTTCCCATCAGTCGCGCCGCTCGGAAACGGAGTAGATTACACTACCTTTTATATGACTCCCTATTTATGAATTTCCGCCACTTTTGCTCCAAGATTTCTGACGTATCCGTTTCTATTGGAACAATGTCTGGGGAGTCCGGGGGCAATGAAAATCTACCAGCTCTCCGTATCATCTACCTCCTGTGTTAGTATGGCGGTGATGCGGAGGTTCCCTGTCTTGTGAAGAGTATGGTGGGATACACTTACCGTTACAAGCGGCAGAAGAAAGCTCTCGGAAATTTCCATCTTTCGCTGGAAGCCGCTCCAGAGTCCGATATCCAGGTTAATTAGAAAGGATTGGAGAGTAGTGAGATCCCTCGTGTTCAAGTTACGTTTCTCAATCTATTGGGTATCATCGGATGATTCGTTAGTTATATACAAAATATGCTCAAATGGATAAGTAGCAATTGCGTATTTCGCGAGGGGGGAGTTCGACACGTACATGGTGACCAAGGCCAATACGGACAACTTCATGAAGAGCCATTCCAAACTGCCAAATAGCAGGCGCAGACACGTAGGTGGCCCCATTCGCAACGAGCGCCGCGACAAATATGGGAAGAGAAGAAGCAGGATCAAAGGACCCTATATGAATCCAGGTGTCGAACTTGCGGGCTTCCTGGGTGAAGTGCATGAGGAGAATGTAGTTGAGCAATCCGAGTGATGGAAAGGAAGGAACTTTGCCGGTGTCCTTGTTCTGCGAGAGAACTAGAGCAAACAGTCTGTCGCGCATTGAAGAGTCCATCCTGATTTGAGGGTATAATTCCTTGGACACTCGCTCGAGACGAAGACCTCGCGTGATATCGTCGCTCACGTTGAGGTCTTCTGCTGCTCGACGGATGTAATCCTCATGGCTGGGCTCCCATAACCAAGGCGATCTCTTGAAAGCTTCGTGGCCTCGAGCCGGGTCTCTCATGACGGTCTTTCCCGACGCTTTGGATGCACTTGAGCCCGTCGAGGGACTAGGACCAGAGGGCTCATATTGAGGCACAGGGATGTCGTCAAAGTTCAAGTCCCACGACGAGAAGTCTATGTTCTGGAACGTGCTCTGTGAAGGGTTAAAGTACGTCGTACTGTCAAGGGCACCGGAGGTCTGCATGGGTTGCTGCTGTGGCTGCTGCTGGCTCCGGGAAATGGGATTGGAGACGGGACTCTGCAGCAAATGGCGTCCGTTGCTGGCAGCAGCCTGCGCGGAACCGTTCAGGAACGAGGCACTGCCAGCATCCGGGTCTATCTCAGCGTCGTATTGAGGCGCTAGTGAGGATGAACCGGCGCCAATCTCCGGTCCAGCAGCCACCGACGACGTCGATTCAGGAGTAGACACGGCCGTGGCATAGGAGCTCGGAGTGCGGAGCTGGTTGAAGCGTTTGGTGGGCATCTCACAAACGAGGCCCCTAGTCCTACACCTGGTACATGGTTTCTCATCTTCACACTTCGACTTGGACGAAGCGCAGTGGACGCAAGCTTCAGACGCACGGTCACTCCTCCTAATAGACGCGCGTCCCGAGTCGGTACCGTCGCGATCATGAGTGGCCTCATGGCGGGTGAGAAGGTCGGCGCGGTTAAAGCGCTTGGGACACCTGGTACACTGGTAAGGACGAGCATTCTCGTGAGCTCGTAAATGGCGCGTGAGATGATCAGCCCTCTCATAGACCCTAGCGCAGATGTGACAGACGTGAGAGGGAGGTGTCGACCTAGGTGAGCTAGGATGTTTCCTCTTAGACTGCTTCACCTGACCGGTGGTGAGTGACGGGGCTAGCGTCGGAGCCGGAGCCGGAGCCGGCTGCGGTAGGTGCTGAAGTTGAGGCGCCGTCACATTGCCGCTCCGGGCCGGTTGGAGCTGGACCGGGGCCGCCTGGGTAGGAGGAGGATGTGAAGAGGAGTTGGCAGCGGCGTCACAGAGGATGTCAATGCCGCTCTGGCCGAAAGTGGTCATGACTGTCTGGGCTGAGCTGGGCCCTTGGCGGCCCAGGGGGGGAGGGGGTGGTCGACAGGCCCACAACAAACCGGTCCAATTGACAATGCCGGGGGATTATGGTGAGTAAGATTGCTGCAGAATTGCAAGGCACGATGGGAAGCGATGTTGGAACACGAGAATTGCCCCTTTAACTGGACTCGCGCGAAACGGGATCCGAGTGGGGTGGCGGAGCTGGCAACGGGACTTGGACAGACAATGACAATTGGAGAGACTCGCGCAACGCTGACGCTGACGAGGGAAGGGGGAGTCGGGCCGCACGGACCATGCGACGACGACAAAGGCTTGAGTCTTTTTGAGACGTGTGTGGTGTTGAGAAGTACACGACCAAGTACAAAGGTACGACGACAGAGAACGCGCGGGCTTCTTGCTCTGTGTCCGTGGTACTGGTACAAGCGGCTGCCCAGCGTATCAACTGATGCTGTGGCTGTATTACTTCATTCTTCATCGAGCTGAGGTAAACTACGCAGCTTAGTTGAGCTTACCGTCGAATTGGGCAAGTATCAGTGAAAGTCGTTTTCCCGAGTCATCAGGAACAGCGTCCGGGTTGGCTTGCACCTGCACTCAACTGTCTACTTCGTACGAACAGTGAAGTAGCGAGTTTGCCGGCATGAGTGTACGAAGTTTATACCAGGAGTGTGCCAAGTATCAAATGTATTTACACTGCATCATGTGTACTTCGCACTAAGGCAACAATTGAACGAACCAAGGTGAAATCAATCACATAAGCTCGCACACAACGCCAAACTAGTGCAGTGTGCAGTACGACCCTGGCGGTATAGAAGGTCCAAACGCTAGGCCAAGCCAGCCCACTACGTCAATAGCCGCATCTCGACGCATTTGTTAGCTTGCACATGAGAATGAATTCCAGGACCATGGGGAAATACTCCTCGCAGATCAATTTGCCAGTGGAAATAATTCTTAAAAAGAAGAAGAAGAAAAAGAAAAAGAAAAAGAAGAAGAAGAAGAAGAAGAAGAAGAAGAAGAAGCATTAATGAAAATAAATTTACGATTCATTGGTGCTGCCAAGTAATGAGGTACGAAGTACTTGCGGAGGGGAGGAGGGCAACCCGCCATTACCAACGGTCTCAGCTGGCTCCAAGGGACGGGGGATCGGCGGGTCCATTACGACAGTCTACAGGGTATCTACCTCGATCATTGTCAGCTGGCGCTGGCTTGGTCAGGCCTCAGACTTGAGTTCAAGTCTGCAGCTAGAATATAAGCGGCGGTGCTACAATTGTAGTGTAGTGCACTTCGTAGTGTCAAACGCCTCACCCCTCCACAAAATGGCAAAACGGGGCCGGCATCTATCAAGCTCAACCCTGTCGATTAAGACTCGATGCCTGCCCAAGGCTGCCTGTTGGTGGAGTGTACAACACTTCGATGTTACCTGTACCCATTGGCGAAGAACAGCCACCCCGCCGCCCCTCGTCCAAAAATGACAGCTCGGAACATTCACACAAGCATTTCCAAGCCTCCGCAAGTGTCAAAAAGGATCAGTTGATGCTGGGACTCACTCCAACGACGTAAACAGCAACAAACACCGAGGTAGTCGGCGAGCATGAGGAGAAAAAATGACGCCGGGTTGGGTCGGAAAACGAGGACTGTAGTGACATTGCTGAACGCAACGAATTGGGCCAGACCTAGCTCTCATTAACGATGGCAATGCGATGGGACTGACCATCCCCCGCCAGGTTAATAAGCCTCTGGCGGAACTCGAAGCGAGAACCGGAAGAGTTGTTGAGGGGTCTCAGCTCTCTAATTTACAGTTAGGTGCCCTACCCTATTATATCCCCTCTCTGATTCGGGTTCTCACCCCAAGATTGATGGATGTAGCGTAGCAACAAGTTCACAAAAACCCCCACGTTGTCAAAAGTTGGAGACAACTTTGAAGGCCTGCGTTCAAATGAAAGCACGCCTGTGGCGTTCCTGAATCATCCCTGCGTCATGCTACACCGCAAGGCTTCGTCTCGGATGTGGCATTTAGACAGAAAACGATATCCAAATTCTGAATGGGAAAAAAGGGACCCTAGCCGGAACTAATGCCAAGGAGTCGGGAACAGCCACCCCCGGAGAAAGAAAGCAGTTGGGGGCTTCAAGATGGCCCAACCACCATAAAACCTTCATCAAGTACACAATGCTTTTCCCATACCCACGATCTAAATTAATTTATAAACCTCAACTCCAACAGCCATTTGTGAACGTTCGTTCGATGAAAACCCTCTGCACCTGCCGAGTCTCACCTGCTAAAGGATGCACCCCGCTTCTCGTCCCAACATGTTTGCCCAGCACTTTCGTCCGCCTCGTAATCCAATCAATGAGACGAAACTCCTCACATCTCCGCGGGTACTTGTAAACTATATGAAGGAAAGACCTCGGACGGGAGGCATGTCAAGGTTCCTCCCTTGTAATCTACCACCCGATCCCTTCACTGGACGAGATGAGAAGGAATACAGGAAAGTCCATTGATCACTTATTTACCTGTCACATTTCCCATGGTTGCAGCAATCGCCAGCCAGTCCTCTTTCGGACAAATAGCCACAGCTCGATCCCACTTCGTCGCAATCCCAGTTCATCTCACTCACTTTCATACAAAGATCGCCAGGGTAGCGACATGTACAGCTCGTGCGTGTGGGGGTCGTATTGGTGGATGTGACGCAGGGATTTTTTGACATCTCCCAGTAACCCGGTAAATGTCGTCCCAAGGTGATATCGCTACCCTGGGCTCTGAGCCACTTATTGGAGGGTGTCATATGTGCGTTGCAGTACTAGTAAATGTGAGTGAAAAAGGTGGTCAAGTGCCAGTGCCCACCCCTGTTCCGGGATGGACCCTCCGGTCTTTATGTTCTCCCTCCACCTGGGCCGTTGTGTTACTTCGTAGCATTTACAAAGGCATGCGGTGCTTCCGGCTCAGAACTTCCGGGAACGCTCGGCAAAGGAGCCGCGGAGAATGAAGGCAGCAACACCATCACGGCAAACGGACATTTCTTCGTACTTAGAATGAAGGCTTGCCCATTGGCAGGCCAGGCCAGGCCAGGCCAGGCCAGAGATATGAAGGGAGGGCCTCACGCAGGCAGGGCAAGGGAGGGCCAAGGGAAGAGCGGCATTGCATGTCTTTTTCTCCTCTCATCGGATAGCTCTCTGGGGGTGAGTATTATTACGAGGTACGAAGTAATCATCAGTACTCCGTACTCAATTCGACCCCCCCTCGTCGAAGTTACCTAATTACAATTGATGATATGTCGCCGCTCTTGCTGGGGATTGGACTGTTGCTTTTTTTTGGTCATATTAAGGGTAGCCATATCAGTTAAGAGTTGCGAGTTGCGAGAGGTCATTTCGAGATGGTACGTAACAATTGCAAATACTTCCTACTCCGTACACTACATATTTCGTATACGGAGGATCACGAGGTGGACATGCCTGTGAATGCCTGTAAAGCATGCCATATTGGTCAATTAATTGATGCCGGCGAGTGGAGTAATGCGCAGTCTTGCAGTACTCCGCAGAACGCAGAGCGAGCGGCGCTGAAGCAGGCAACTCAGCCTCAAATACAAGCGAGGCGGAAAGCAACATTTGAAGTCATGAGAGAGTCTGAAAAGCATCGTCAACATTACATCACGTCCCTACCGGAAGCACCGATATATTGAACCTTTCCGGCTCCATCCAATAATATGTAGTCTTGGCCGGAGCTGCTGCATTGATAATCCTGGGCCCGCAGGTCCTTGGGGATGAGAAAAGGGTGTCTTGGCGGGTAGCCCAGCCTTCCAGCGTCATTAAAGCCACGAGGAAAAGCAATATTTCGACGGCGATTCTCCTAATATTGGAGGGTGAGCCGACGGGTCGCCTTGAACCAGGGAGGCACACACCAGAGAATGTATTCTGGGACCATTGACGCTACATCGTTGAACAGGGCGTGCGGAATAGTCCCGGGATCGACTGATTCTTCAACCAGCTCTACGAAGCCATGCTGCCCATTTTGATGCAACTGCGGAAAGGCAAAGGGAGCATGACTGAAGGGACCTCTTTTTTAATAACTCAACCAAGAAAAGAAGCAAGCACAGAATCGGCCCAGTGGAATGGATATCATAAAACTGCGACACGCATAGGCGGCGTCGGCCAGGTCGCAGAATGGGCCTTTCTAGAAGAGGAGCCGCTCGTCTTTTCATTAGGGCATGGCCTAGCTAGGCGATCTGCCATGCGGGCGTGTTGCTATGAAGGCCCGCCTGTCAAGATGCACACTCTGAAGCGACTGAAGTGGCGTCGTCCCGCCCGCCACACCAGGTTCTCCAGACCTCCATTTATCGCGCTGTTTCTCAGAAACCATCGTTGTCGTTGTTCCGGGACGGGATTTAGGGCGGTGTGGTCGTGTCTGAGTAAACCGCTCCGACATATCCGATGATCATCACGGCCGCCCTTGCTCAGACTATCCTATCATCCGGGGTGGGCAAGGGGAGCAGGTGTCACAATGATCGACCTACTAGTGTAGAGAGGCACCCAGGGCGCAGAGGCCTGCGCCCTTCACCACCACCCCATAACGAAGCAAGTAATTCCCTCTGAACCAGATGACTGCTAAATTCGGTCCACATGCAGTCCCGGCCCAGTGGCCCGGCCCCCTCAAGATCTGCAGGCTAAAATTCCCATCCGCCGCTCTTTTCGTCCACATGTACTTCCCTCCTGCCACATGTACTGCACACTAGCGCGCCCAGCAACCCTGCGTGCGTTTGCATACCCCAGGCTCTGCACCTCTTCAGAGGTACCATTGGTCCTTGCTCTTATTGCAGGGTACCCTGTGATCGATTCGCTAGTAAAAACTGGTAACCGGGTTTTCGGGGTGGAAAAAGGCGAGGGAGGGGAAAGGAGCTGGTTAATGAAAACGTGCGGAAGATGTGATCGGCCAAGAACGAGTTTGGCTGATCTATTCCCTCCCAGGCAACTATCATGTGGGCATTCATCGATGTGGG